CCTCACACTCTTGGCCAGTACAAACAGGGTGCTGCAAAGCTCAAATATTAGATTTGCAGAAAAAGTATCCAGCATTGTCCTAACATAGTAAATAGGATATCAGGCTTGCAATGTAGATATTTTTAGCCAAAGGAAAAAGCAAATTTTGCCGGACAGCTTTGGTATCGAGGGTGTATATTTGTCCCTAGAAAAAGAAGTAATTTTATTTTAAAGCCTAGCTGCAATGGAATATGTTTGAAAACAATTTTTTGGGTAACTTTGTAAGCTTGTTTGATGTGTTTTTACATTGCTGTTTGGTTACATTGAAAAGTGCAACTTTTTAACGCTTGAAATTATCCAAGCTTTCCTGGACAACTGAGGGCGCTATTGCTGTGAAGTCCAGTCTGATAAAGGGTTTGATAAAGGGATAAATGCTTGCTTATTGCTATGAACAAAAACAACAATGAATCAGTAAAGAGGAAAAATTTGTGTCCAGCAAAATCTACAAAAATAAAGGACTTCTTTTGAGTACAAACCATGCAACATTGAGGCTTTCTTCCCGCTGGGATGATGTTACACTTTTACTATGAATATGGAAATAGTCATTAGCATAAAAATGTAAAAGACAGTAAATTACCCTTTGGAATACTGAAAGAAAAGCCAGAAATCAGGTTAACTGAAAAAAAATGCATTTAAAGGTTTGTATTCAAACAAATTGATTGCAGCTACCCTTTAAGTTGGTTTCCAGACATTATTTAGTTTACCCAATAATCAGTATTTTGCATTCTGTGCATTAGATAGACTAATTTGTGCACTTAATGTTTTACTTTCAAAATCCGTCAAATTGTTGGTGACTGCACAAAATCATAGTTATACCTTTAGCCGCTGTGTATAAATGTCGATAAATCAGAACTCTTTGAAATCTTGAAGCTTGAAAAAAGATGGTCTGGTATTTCTCAAAATTTTCAATTTTTTTTCTTCTCTTGATTGTGGAGATTTTCAAAATGCAAAAGCAGACATTGTAAATTCCTTAAATTCCAAGTTACAAGTAGCTGGAACAAGAGGCTTGTTACTACTAAATTTTCTCAGAGATGTCTCTGATTGAAAGAAATTTCCATGTCTACGGGATCTTTCTCAAATTGATGTTACTTTACATCAGTTGATTTTTTTCTGACAGATACATGTACATAATATTAAAATGAATAGTTAGTATAGAAATGCTTACACGTGATTGACGTATGAATTTATATTAAACTGAATACATCAAATTTGTTATTTATCCGTCTGTTTCTACCCTCATTGGTATGCTGTCTCTGCCGTGTGTTTGCATATTCAAATTTTGTTTATTTAAATATATGCAGATTAGCTGTGATCTCTGACCTTTATGGAAATTGTGCAATCCTAACCTTTAAATATAAGTTCCGAAGTGATTTATATCAAGAGGCCTGTGGCCTGGTGGTTAGCGAGCTGGCTGCCAGGCCAGGGGACCCC